TCTGTTTCTATTTTTCTGTCTCTCTTTTGCTTTCTCTGCTTTGAGAGTCTGCTGCTGGGTGAAAAGGCTGAGTGCTGCCATAACACCAAAAAGGTACTTGTACTCTCAGTATGTGTAGGGTGACCCAATAGGGGACACCCTATTTGTCAGGAACTGACCTGAGTTTAGTTAGTGGTTCAGGTGAACCACTAATTTTTAGGAACTCTTAATGACTGGCATAGTACCACTGGATTGGCGTAAGGCCAATGTGGTGCCAATATTTAAAAAGGGGTGAAAATATTTACCAAGTAATTATAGACCTGTTAGTTTAACTTCTATAGTTGGGAAGATACTGGACAGTTTAATAAATGACCACATGGATGAGTTCTTGCTGGAAAAAAATATTTTGAGCAACAGGATGGATTCATGAAAGACAGAAGTTGTCAAACAAATCTGATTTCTTTTTATGAGGAGTTGAGCAAAACCTTGGACAGAGGGGTGGCGGTGGACGTGGTATACTTGGACTTTGCAAAAGCGTTTGACAGTTCGCCACAGACGGCTAATGTGTAAGGTAAAGTCTACGAGCTTGGAAAATTCTGTATGTAAATGGATAGAAAACTGGCTAAAAGTTGGTATGCAGAGAGTAGTGGTTAATGATTCATACTCTGAATGGTCTAGGGTTGTCAGTGGTGTACCCCAAGGTTTGTGTTGGGACCCTTACTTTTTAATATATTTATAAACAATATAGGGTCTGGTATTAAAAATCCCATTTCAGTCTTTGCAGATGACACCAAGCTGTGCAGTGGAATAACGTCCTTACAGGATGTCTCCAACTTACAAGCCGCCCTCAATGCACTGTTTATTTGGGCAACTATGTGGCAAATGAGGTTTCATGTTGATAAATGTAGGTTATGCACTTGGGGGCTAAGAATATGCATGCATCATACATACTAGGGGGGTACAACTGGGGGAATCAATGGTGGGAAGGATCTGGGAGTTCTGGTAGATCACAAGTTTAATAATGCCATGCAATGCCAAGCTGCGGTTTCTAAAGCGAGCAAAATCCTCTCTTGTATTAAAAGAGGTATAGACTCCAGAGAGAGAGATATCATATTACCCCTGTACAAATCATTAGTAAGACCTCATCTGGAATATGCAGTTCAATTTGGGGCACCAATTCACAAAAAGAACATTGGGGAACTGGAGAAAGTACAGAGAAGGGCAACCAAACTGATAAGAGGCATGGAGGAGATCAGCTATGAGGAAAGATTAAAGGAACTGAATTTATTCTCTCTTGAGAAGAGAGATTAAGGGGGGATATGATCAACAAGTATAAATACATCAGTGGTTCATATAGTGAAACTTGGCGTAGAGTTATTCACTCTGAGGTAATCACAGAGGACAAGGGGGCACTCTTTATGTATGGAGGAAAAGAAATGTAAATGTAGGTTTCTTTACAGTAAGAGCTGTGAAAATGTGGAATAGACTCCCTGAAGAGTTGGTTCTGACCAGCTCAGTGGATTGTTTTAAGAAAGGCCTGGAATCTTTCTTGGATACACACAATATTACTGGATACTAACATTTATAGATATAGTTGATCCAGGGAACATCTGATTGCCTCTCGGGGGATCAGGATAGAATTTGTTTCCCCTGCAGGAGCAAATTGCATCATACTTTTCTGGGTTTTTTTGCCTTCCTCTGGATCAACTGTGGGTTTAGGATTATAACTTTTTTTTTTTAATGGTTGAACTGGATGGACTTTTTTGCCTTTTTTTCAGCCAGGCTAACTATGTAACTATGAGCAGATGTTTTGTTTTATGCTATGGGCTTACTGTACAAAACCCTCGCGGCACTGAATCTGTGCTTGTTGCTTTGTGGAACAAAGGTGCTTGGACTCTTTCTGAGTCTCACTGCCTAATGCATGTTTACTGCTGCTGTTACCAGCTGAGCCTGTCTCCATTACAACATACATACAGCAAAAGCAATAACCAAACAGTATAACACATGTGCAAGTACTTAACTACAAGATGACTTACTATATACAAAGAATCTCAGAAAATCAGGCAGGGGATGAAGAGCAAAGTGAGCTCAGGCAAGGTGGCAAGATGGCAGAGGAAATAACAAGTCGTGCAAGTACAAGGGATGCAGGTTAAGAATGAGAACAGATGCACAGGCACAATGCTGAGGCAAGGAACATACAGCAGGGAGGAACTAAATATTCTTCGAGCAGGCCACCTTCAGGTTGAGGTTAAATAAAGTCACCCGATGCTGGGAGACACTTACTGGTGGTAGTCTCCCTGCAGCTGATTTTCCCATTACTGACTTACATTGCCTTGTTCTGCACTGAGTCTCTATGTGGAAGCTTTTCTTTCTAATATCAGAGCTGCCCCCTGATGACTAGTCATTTGATAACTAATGGGTTTAAGAAGGAGCATGAGAGGTTTAGAAAGCACTGATCTACAGAATGAAAGCAGGAGATCCTTGTACTGCAGGTTCCAAGGCAGAGTTTTCTCTCCAGCATGGAGATCAGTGAGCGGCATCACCAAATCTAACCTCAAATCTCATGGGGCCACCAGTCAAGGGTAGAGTGCCTATGATGATACTGCAGATATACAGCTATGAAACTGAAGGCACAGGAGTGCCTAGGCACAGTTGAGTAACTGCTATTTTACTAGAGGAATTAACATCTCTAGATGTTCTCTATACAACCAAAAAAAACCTTCACATTTTGAATTTAGGTAGACTTTATCAATGTCAGAGAAGCCATTGATGATTCAGTTTTCTTTCCTAAAACCACTCGTAGGAAAGAAATTACTCAATTCGCTCCCACAGTGCTAATGTGTTTTGCTGGCAAGGAGCCTTTAGCCGCTGACAGTAATCGCATGCAGAAAGTCCACAGTTGATTGATGGATTGACTTCAGTACAACCAGCCCGCCCATACATGGATTGAATCTTGGGCGGTCCCTGCTGAACCATTCGAGATTCGATCTATCTATGGCCGGCTTTAAAAGTGATTTTTAATCATTTTAAACCTGTAGCTTTCTTTAAAATTATACTTGGTGATCCTGCCACGAAGGCCCTTGTTCGGCTCTTTACTGTTATAGAGTAACCTATCACCCAAATTAGGCTCCTTGCATTGTCACCCTGTCACACATTGGTCTAGTGATGTCATCACCCACCCTGAAAAATTCCATGCAGTCATGGTGTTGGTGTATGCCTGTAGAAAGGAAGAGTCTACATGAGCAGCTTCGAAATGCAACTAAATGCAGTTAAAAAAAGGCGAAAACAAACATTTTATTAAAAAGAAATTAGAATTTTACATTCTCTCACACTCATAAATAAATGAAAGAAAAACAAGTGGAAATACAACATGTTTGTGCTTGTCACTTGACAGGTCTTGTTAGATCTTTGGTAAATTGGATCATATCCAAGGGAAAAATCAGACAGGCACATTTAGCGGCGCCTATGTAGAGTGCAGAATTTAAAGTGTAACATTTGCTGTTATGTTTTTTTACAGTTTAATCTTCTAGTGATCTGTCAGGTGAGCGTGCTGGAAGATCGATCACACGCATTGTTTTACCAAATCATTTTAGATCCTTGTGAGAATGCTGTTATATGTCTTTATTTGTAAATGCCCCCATGATGGCATCACAATGGTTACTCTTGTAACGCTATGTTCAAAATATTTAGTGCTCTTTCATGTTTGTCAGACGCAGTCCTGAATCTGACCTGGTCTTGAGGAACAGAGGAATCATTCACACATGGGCCTTAAATACTAACATACACTATATGACCAAAAGTTTGAGGACACCTGACCATCGCACCTACAATATATGGCCAAACGTATGAGGACACATGACCATCACGCCTACTGTAGGTGTGATGGTCAGGTGTCCTCATCCTTTTAGACATATAGTTCAGGTGTGATGGTCTGGTGTCCTTATAGTTTTGGTTATATAGTGTATATTTGTGTACCAGTGAACATCAGCGCTGTGTGGATGAGAAAATGTATACTTATGGAATGTATCATTCCTTCATGATGTTCCTTAGCATTCATGCATAAGCTACAAGGAATGTACATGGAGTTTAGTAACAAGGGAGCTTTGCTATAGAATGTACATTCCACATCCAATTTACACTAGTTAAAGAGGAACTCCAGTCTCCCAGAAAAATGAAAAATCAGCAACTACACTTATCTGTCTAGGGATCCAGCATTTTCCTCACCTGAGCAGATTCTTTAATTGGCTTTGGGTCCCCTGCGCCAGCATCTAAAGTAAGGGAAACCAGCAGGTGGTTTCCTACTGTGGATGTGCGAGCCACATTGCGCTCTGTGAATGGTCCCGCAGTCTTCTGGGGCCTGAGAAGTGTCCCAGAAGGCTGCAGGGGAAAGAAGAGGGACTGTACGTTGCCGTAGCAATCTGACTGGAAGTGGTAGTGGATGCCTGTCAAAACAAGGTACGTGCTCTCCCCACCTCCCATAAAGTGCCAATAGGTAAACAAGAGGGGGGGGGGATGCAAAGAAGTGGAACTTTCTCTTTTGGGTGAAGTTCCACTTTAAGTTGTGGTGTGCTCAAATGAAAAATGTGATTTCGTTGGTATTGCATCTATGTAAATGAGGTAGCAAGTTTAGATGCACTTTAGTTGTAAGTTAAGTGCACACAGTTACCATTGAAGGGTTAGTTCACCTTTTCACAAAAAATGAAAATATGAGTCAACTAACAACACTCTCCCCACGCCTCCAGTTCTTTGTACATGTACCTTGCGTGATCCCCATCTTCCGAATTCCTCCTCAGCCATCACTTTCATACTTCACTAAACATCAGTGGAGGCCGTATAACAGCATAGGCGTAGTAGGATACCTGTCCGACGTATGGCTTTTTAACCTCCCTGGAGGTATTCCCGAGTGTAGCTCGGAGTAAAGTTTCAGCACCACAAGCGGTAACCCCGAGCTACACTCGGGAATACCCTGCAGCGTTGCTCCGGGATATCTTCTTCCCTTACCTTGTCCTGCGTTCCCCGTGATGTCCCCCCTGCAGTGTCCCTGGCAATGTCTTCCGGCCGATGCCGGCATCTGTCTTCTGGGTTCCAATCCCTGCAACGTCAGGACGTACGGGGACGGAACTGGTGGGAAATTTACAAATTTTAAAAGTGACATTCACTAAAATCACATAGTAAAACATTACTGTATCAAACCATTTCACATACATTTTGTCCCTAGTGCTTTGTCCTGTGCCCTGCCTGCATTTTTACTGTTCTTTCTGCCTTGAAATTGAGAAACGTCCATGGCGTCCAAAAAGCGTCCCTTTAGGTCAAAAGCAGTTTTAGACCAGCTAAAAAACAGCGATAGTAAATTAGAACCACTTGCAGAATTGAGTGATAATGACTGGTGGGGAAATTCTTCATCAGACACTGAAAACGATTTTGTGACTTTGCTCAGTGGTGTGCGAACTGGCGCTCTATTTCAAATTTCAGTGTTTTTGGTTTGATTAAATTATTGAATTAAATGTATTATTATATTATTATTTTTTTCTGATTATTTATTAAATTATAATTTATGTTTTCATGTTTCAAATTTTAACATACCGTATTTGCCGGCGTATAAGACGACTGGGCGTATAAGACGACCCCCTACTTTCCCTGTTAAAATATAGGGTTTGAGCTATACTCGCCGTATAAGACTACCCCTCTTCCAACGCACACCAAATAAAAATGAAAAAACATCAGATTTGATTTCAATATGGTATGCTATTTCAGTATGGTATTCCAATGATGGGGTGCTATTCCTCCACTGTCCCCAATGATGGGGCACGATTCCTCGCTCTGACACCAATGATGGGGCACTATTCCTCCCACTGATACTAATGATGAGGCACTACTCCTCCCACTGACACCAATGATGGGGCACTATTTCATGCCACTGATACACTAATGATGGGACACTATTCCTGCCACTGACACCAATGATGGGGCACGATCTTCCCACTGTCAGTGATGGAGGAATATTCCTCCCATCAATGATGGTGTCAGTGGGATTCCTGCCCATCATGACACAATGGATGGTAGTGCCCCATCATTAGTGTCAGTGTGTGAGGAATAGTGTCCCATCATTATGTCAGTGGCGGGAATATGTGCCCCATCATTGGTGTCAGTGGGAAGAATCGCGCCCCATCATTGGTGTCAGTGGGAGGAATAGTGCCCCATCATTGGTATCAGTGGGAGGAATAGTGCCCCATCATTGGTATCAGTGGAAGGAATTGCGCCCCATCGTTGGTGGTAGTGGGAGGAAAATAGTGCCCCATCGTTGGTGTCAGTGGGAGGGAAAAGTGCCCCATCATTGGTGTCAGTGGGGGAATAGTGCCCCATCGTTGGTGTCAGTGTGGGGAGGAATAGTGCCCCATCGTTGGTGTCAGTGGGGGGAGAATAGTGCCCCATCATTGGTGTCAGTGGGGGGGGAAATAGTGCCCCATCGTTGGTGTCAGTGTGGGGGGAGGAATAGTGCCCCATCGTTGGTGTCAGTGGGGGGAGGAATAGTGCCCATCGTTGGTGTGAGTGGGGGAGGAGGATAGTGCCCCATCGTTGGTGTCAGTGGGGGAGGAATAGTGCCCCATCGATGGTGTCAGTGGGGGAGGAACAGTGCCTCATTGTTGGTGTCAGTGGGGGAGGAACAGTGCCCCATCGTTGGTGTCAGTGGGGGAGAGGAATAGTGCCCCATCGTTGGTGTCAGTGGGGGAGGAATAGTGCCCCATCGTTGGTGTCAGTGGGGGAGGAACAGTGCCCCATCGTTGGTGTCAGTGGGGGAGAGGAATAGTGCCAAGAGTGTCACAGCATGATGCTGCTGCACACTTACTGGCCGCTCCCTCACTCGATTTTCGCGGGGCCGCTCGGCTCCGCCTCCTCGCCGGTGATTGGTCGCCTGTGTGCTTTACCAGTGCTGGCGCCCAATCACCGGTGAGGAGGCGGAGCCGAGCGGCCGCGCGACCATCGAGCGGCCGAACTGAAAGAAGGAGCAGCCGCGCTTCCTGGACCGGATCGTCGTGGGACCGGGACCGGAGCCAGGTAAGGTACAGCAGCCCCCTGCCCGCCCCTGTACTTAGTGTCCCTTCCGCCACCGCGGAAGTGCCGCCCTGACACCGGCTCGCGTATATAAGACGACCCCCGACTTTTCAGAAGATTTTCATGGGTTAAAAAGTCGTCTTATACGCCGGCAAATACGGTACTCGGAATGTTTACTAGACTCTTGTTCACACAGATTTCAGTGAGTTATTCCTAAAAATTACAGGCCTACAATAAAAAAACTACATATTTCCATGCAAAAAAAATGTACCGTTTTGATCACAGAAATATGGACATAATCAGATCGCTAGGGAGGCTAATTAAATTGTCTTTACAATCCTCTTTAAAGGGTTATTTCACTTTTTTACAAAAAATTAAAAGGTGAAGTAACTCAGAGCACCCACCCCACCCCTCCTGTCTATGCTGTATATACCTTATGTGATACCCTTCTTTCCATGCCCTTTCCAGCTTGTAAAATGGTCCACCACTTTAAAACATCACTATGCAGCCAGATAAATTGCCAGACAATTATACTAGCTGGCAAGGGTGTTGGTAGACGATGATCACATAAGGTATATGCAGCAGGGACCAGAGAGATAGGGAGGGTGTTGTGAGTAAGTTTACCTTTTCAATTTTTTTGTAAAAATGGTGAACTAACCCTTAAAAGAAGGCTGTAAAAAGCTTGATTTATAAAAAGTCTTACTGACTGTAAATTTATAGATATCATACTACACTTGAGCAGATCTTTGAGAGCATACGCCGAGGTTTGACAACTAGTCATTGTAAGAGATTCCATACCCCGGTGCTTGGACTACAATCCAATGATAAATACCCACATACAGTATGTGTCTTCATATGAGTTTTTGAGATGACTTTGATATGACGTTTAGCTTGACGTGTAAAAAAAATGCTTAGCAAGCCAGTCACATTTTTTATAATGTGTTGAATGTGGACCAACAAACTAGGTCCACATTCTAAATGTTAGTTGGATTGTGTTAACATGCAGGCTAGCAGGATTGTGTTAACATGCAGGCTTGCAATCCAATTATGTGCTTGAGATTTATCCTGCTCTTGTTTATTATATCCAGAACATCACCCTCGCCGTCTCAGCCATATCAGGCCTAACTCATCACTGTGGGCCACTAAGGCTACCCATCACAGTAATGGGCCAATAGTGCATTCATCATTTTGTGTGCTCAGTACATAAAACTATATAAGAAGGCAAATATAAATCTTTCATTTGTAATATAATAATTTGTCTGAAAACATGTAACTAATAACAAGAAAAATATATTTAACAATAAAGATTGTACATTCCACATAGTAAGTTGTCATTCTTATAACATAAATAGGAACTACCATGTGCATCACATAGAGCATTAAGTATTTGAGTAAATATTCATGAATGAAGGCATTATGAGGCATTGCTACAATAGGTCCAATAAATACTGAAGTGATGAAAGGTAATAACACAATCAAATATTAATAATAATAATATAACCACTTGCATACCGCGCCATGTATGTATACATATATATATATATATATATATTGTGACAGTGTGGTGATCTGTCACGATGTGGAAAGGTTATTTCACCCAGGATTCTCAACAAGGCAGGTTGAGGGGCTCCGGGGTACATGTTTGATACAGAGGGAAGTGGATTTTCACTTTCCTCATTTCTTTGTAAGGTCCATTTTGGGACCTGGAGCCTGGAGATTTCAAAGCGATTTGGGAGGGATGAAATCTCCAATCCTGGTACCAGGTTTTGGGAATGGCCAGGATACTGATTGCTCAGGTGTGCATGGCTCTTTTGTAGTCAGGACCAGGGTTCTGGGCTCCACCCCGGCAGACAGGAGTCAGGAGGGCTCCACCCCAGCAGACAGGAGGCATGCAGTTAACCCTTTGATTGCCCCTAGATTTTAACCTCTTCCCAGCCAGTGTGATTAGTACAGTGACAGTGTATAGTATTATCACTGGTCATTGTATTAGTGTCATTGGAGATGTCAGTTAGATCCCAGCCAGTGTCGGTTAGTGTCAGATTGCCTGTTGCACTATTGTAGTCGCACTATAAATTACTGATCTCCACCATTACTGGTATAAAAAAAAAAAAATCCAGTATATATACCATTGTAGACACTATAACTTTCACACAAACCAATCAATTTACACCTATTGGGATTTTAGCAGAATACATTTTAGCAAACAGTTCTGAAGAAATTTGTTTAGCCAATTACAACAGACTGCGACAGCCCAAAGGTAAAGTAGCTAAGCAAAGTCCTTTGCAGTAGCAACACTTGAACAAGCTCTTCATCAGATTAGCCAGTGTTCCCTTTTTCCAGACCTATGCTGATTATCAAATCCCTGGGGGGGTAGCAAGCACACAACGTCCCCAAGTTCCTCAATGTCAGTACTAACTGGCCCAAGGATAGAATGGTTTTCTCCCTTCCAATCTTCCAAGCGAAACCCTCCAGTGGTACGAGACAGAGCTTTGGTGGACAGTTCTCCTCAATCAGTTTCCTGCAAAACCAGGGTCACTCTCTCAAACTTCAGGCCCTCGGGTCAACACACCTGAGGCCACATGGCAGCTAGTGCCAGGCGAGGCAGCCTGCCTCCAGCCTGGCTGGTACAATCCACCCCCGACAAAAGACACTAAACCCATGTGCTCTCAGACTATAAATACCACTCCCAGCATGCAATGGGACTACCTTCCTCTGCAGTAGGCCAGGGCTTTATCCATATTCATTTGCCTAGCCCAGGGGTAGGCAACCTGCGGCTCTCCAGTTGTTGCAGGACTACAAGTTCCATCATGCCTCTGCAAGTCATAGCTGTAACTGTCAGTTTTGTAATGTTGCAATGCCTCATGGTAAATGTAGTTCCACAACAGTTAGAGAGCCGCAGGGTGCCTACCCCTGGCCTAGCCCCTTCCCATGTTCTGGAAGACTCTCATAGCTTCCTGACCGCAGGCAGATCGCAGACAAACTCCAACAGCACCAGAGCAGTATGAGCAGACCTACTTAATCAATCAATCAATCACAGCACTCAGTTAAGTAGAACACCACACTGACATTTACCTGACAGCCTCTCTGGTAAGCAGAGAAACACAGCTATGCTTAACCCAACTATACACATCCTAGCACCTAACTAGGAGGGTGATATATCTATATATATATATATTGTGGGAACTCGCTTCAACGTGGTAGAGCTTCTTCAAAGCACACAGCAACTCGCTTCTTTTAAGGGCTTTTTTGCCCACTTTTATTTACAAGAAAGTTCAAGAAACACAAATGCTTCCCACGCAGGGGTATCCAACATCAAGCAA